CACTAGCGGCTACCCTGTCACCCACCACCCCCACCATTATTACCCCCCTGGAAACGGCTCGAACAAGAAAAAAGGTGCGCTCCTTGGCCAACACCAAATGGCAGCCGGGCCCTTGGTCACAATTTTCGGCATACATCAAAAAAAAACTCACCTCGCATTCTTCACACGCTTTCGCTGCTCGATATGGAGTCTTCATCCACCGTGGACAGCCCTGTGACATGCCAGCCCCACCATGAGTACCCCCCCTCGAAACGGCCAAAACAAACAAAAGGTGCACTCCTCAGCCGACACGAAATGGCAGCCGGGCCGCTGGTCACAGTTTTCGGCGCACGTCACAACAAAGCTCACCTCGCATCCTTCACGCGCTTCCGCTGCTCGATATGGAGTCCTCATCCACCGTCGGCAGCCCTGTGACCCGCCAGCCCCACCATTAGTACCCTCATCAATTCGGCTCAAACAAGAAAAAAGGCGCGCTCCTCGGCCAACACCAGATGGCAGCCGGCCCCCTGGTCACAAATTTCGGCGCACGTCAAAACAAAGCTCACCTCGCATTCTTCGCACGCTTCCGCTGCTCCCTATGGAGTCCTCGTCCACCGGCGGCCGCCCTGTGACCTGCCAGCCCCACCATTAGTTTCCTAACCCTAGACGGCCTGAAGGTGCGCTCGTCAGCCGACACCAAATGGCAGCCGGGCCCCTGGTCACAATCTCTGGCGCACGTCGAAAAAAAACACACATCGCAGTTTTCTCGCGTGCCCGGCCCTCACCATAAGGTCCTCATCCACCCGCGGGTACCCTGTGACACAGCACTACCGTCGGAAACGCCCGGCGATTCGCGCGTCAAAAATCGCAAAAATCACTCTTGCTCTTGACTCTGGCAGCGGGCAACATGGATAGCATCTTCAAAAGAGGGCTTAAGATCGGTTTCTCACCTGCATTTGAGCGGGAGTGCTTCGTGCCGGATCTGACCAGGCACCGTGGCTCTTGGGCCTAGCTAGCGCATCCATCAGCGCACGAGCGGTTGCGGCTCTTCATGGGTCAGATCGAGGATTCGTCTTGACAACAAATGGCAGCCCAACACGAGATCAGCAAGAATGGTCCATCCACGACGGTCACGCGGCAATGTCGTTTGGCCACCCGTTCATCCATGACGTCGCTTGCACCTCGACATCACTTGCCCGTCGCGCCACAACGACGACAACGCACCACCAGGAGCGCGCGCGCGCCCCGCCCATGGCCCGCTTCATCGTGGTGTCAGTGAGAAAAAAAAAAAATGAAGTCAACTGCAAAGGGAAGGATATAGAGGCAAGAGGTTAATGAAGCAAAGCTTCAATTAATTGAAGCTGATCATAGCCATTCCAAGTAAAAAGTCGCAGTCGTTTCAGCAGTTATTGAAGATAATAAAGATGATGACATTCTGACATTCGGTTCTGTGTTCTGATTCTCAAAAGAGCTTCCTGTGTGTGTTTAGCGAAAACTGTCGAGGGGGCCGACTTGGGCTTTCGCCTCACGGCGGAGCAGGATCCTCGCACTTTCAAACACAAATTCCACAAGACGCCAATGCCCATCCCCTGGAGGTAGACCAGGAACGGGCGAGTACAGCCACTCGACAAACAAGTCGCGCGTTTTTAAATCCTTCAATGTCTGTACCCTCAAGTTGTAGCCCATCCGTTTTGCCAGGTCGCGCAGCCCCGAATGACAGTCCGAATAAAGGAGGAGACAGCTCAGGCCCGAATCCAGTCCTTGAGACTGCCTGCAACGGTGATTCCGTGTATCCCATCCACGAATCATACTTGGCATTCCACAAGCGTAGCAACACGTCCATTTGGGATATGCGAAGCCCACGAAACATTTGCTTGCCTCATGTCCTTTGAAGTGACACCGCTCACAACCACGATTAGATTCGCATCGATGTCCAGCCTTCAGGACAGGTTTCGCCTGTCGAATGGTACATCGCATACAGTAATCATCCATCAACTTCAGAACGCCAATAAACTTGTCAGCCGCCGCGTAGTTCATCAGATATTTTTTTTTTGTTCCTGATTTCGACCGAAATATTGGCGCGACGTTGTGCCGATTCGGTGGCGTAGCCGCAGCAGATACCGTGGCTTCAGAGCGAGTGGTAGCAGTAGCGGCAACGGTAGCGGTGCGCGTGCCACTCGATGCTGCTCGTTTTGCTGCGGAAGAGGCGCCTCCGCTGCTTGCGCCGCTGTTGAAGAAGCAGCAGCTGTGCTCGTGCCATCCGATGCCGATCGCTTGGATGTTGAGGGCGCAGGGCTGGTAGCGATGCTGTTGCCATCGTCGTCATGATCGTCAGACCCAGGGGTAGATGTACTTTCAGCTGCCAGCGGCACTCGCTTACGCCGCAGTGTACCCGAGGCTGAGCTTGCAGCCGATCGCGCCGGAGAGGAGGTTGAACCCGAGGCCGATGGTACTGGCACGCAAATGATCGAGGCCGACGGGGTTGGCGTGTGTTTCGTGGGGGTTGGCTGTGCTGCTGACTGCATGACTGGCTGTGGCGTGCTCTCGCCCTCTGCCAACGTGGTTTGCTCCGGGTCGCGCGCCTCTTGCTGTATAGGCGCCTCGTCATCAGCATCAGAGACCATGGGTGAAGCTGGCACCGACATGGATGCTGTATCTGCCTCATCAATCCAAGCATCACTCGTCTGTATCCGTGGCACAGCAGCATCCGTCATTGGCCCTGCATTTGTCGCCACCACAGCCGTGTCTTGGGCACGTGGAGTGCTTCTGCTCGACTGCGCTGCAACGGCAGCTGATCCTGGGGATGCTGCCGTGTCAATGTTCGATGCTAAAGTTACATCCAAGGTGGACCCTGGCCCGATCGATTCTTCTTCCTCGAGCCGTGCTGCAGGTGGCTCAGACAACACATCTTCCTCCTCCGCCATCGCCTCGGGCTCTGCTTCCACATGCGCCACACTCAACGCTTGGGCAGCGCGCTGCTGGCGCGCAGCTATTGCTGGCTCCAGGCGCTGTGCTGTTCCTGCGCACACGTCACAAAGCGGCTGGCCGGCAGCAAAGCATGTCGCGGCGCGGGGATCTAGCAACTTGCCGAGCGCCCAGCTGCGACACGCATTGCCCTCGACAAACTTTTCCATGCCTGGTGCTGGCCCACGTCTCACTGGTAGCCACAGCTCGGCAGTTCCACCCTGTTTATCGCGACCAGCCCGACCAAATGCCTAGCCCAAGCACATGTACACCATCAGCAAAACCAACAATTGATTTTTTTTTTTTTTTTTGTTTTCAACTCCATACAGTCACACGACTGTTTGAGCAACAACGTACCTGGGCCAGCGTATAGACGTTGTAGCCGTTGCCATACCACAGCACGTGGCGAATGGTGAGCAGATCCACACCCGTGCTGAGGCAGCTGGTGGCCACAATGACGTCGCATTCACCCCGTTGCCACTGTGCCACATGGTCCTTTTGCGCCTTCTCCTCCAGGTCGGTGTAGTAGGGCAAGGCC